AAAAAGAATTACGTGATCATCAGACTGTTCTACAATTATACTTTATACTGAAGAAATGGAGTAAAATTTTAAAGATATGCAAGGAAAAATTGAAGGAAAATATTTTATATCCAAAAAAATGGACTTTCAAGTATAAAGGGCACAAACTCATCCAACTAATCCAATTTGGGAAATATTATTCCCTTAAGCTAGGAATCTATCAGAAAATGAGTTCCATGAGATAACCAAAATGACTAAAGAAATAGCACCATAAAGACTGGTAGTGGACATTAAACAAATAATAACTTGTACAATTGAAAAATAGAGTTAAGGGGCCAGCCCTGTGGCCGAGTAGTTAAGTTTGCGTGCTCCACTTTGGCGGCCCAGGGTTTCACCGGTTCAAATTCTGGGTGTGGACATGGCACTCATCAGGCCATGCTGAGGCAGTGTCCCACATGCTACAACTGGAAGGACCCACAACTAAAAAAAAAAAAAATACCCAACTGTGTACCAGGGGGCTTTGGGGAAAAAAAGGAAAAATAAAATCTAGAATAAAATAAGAAAAATAGAGTTAAGGGAGAGTGTGGTATGCAATGGCTGTGTCCAGAAGACAGAGGCAGTACGACTAACAGGAAGAGATGTCCAGGGACATTTGGTTTAGATGGTGGCAGTTTGATAGTATTGTCACTTTAGGACTGTTGTGTGTATAATGTGGGATAAAGTAAATGAATATTTATGGGATATTTTAATTCATCTCTAATTTTCTTGAGAACCAGGATTCTTGATGTGGGGAAAAGGAGATACAGATATAATACAGAGTGGGTTAATGTTTTTTAAATCCCTGTAGTTATGAATTTGAATTAGAAGTACTGATAGAAACATAGATAAAATATTTAGGTATGTATATACACACTGTATATATATGCATATGTACTACATATATATATATACACACTGAAGAGACCTAGAAATAACCAATCCAGTATCAATAAGCATCTCTCTTACTCTGCTTGTAGTCTTCAAATACTATTTTTCATTAAAAGAAATCAGAGCTTCTTGGTAAAATAGTCTGGCTGGAAATGTAAAAGATAAGCCTGGACTATCTTGTTAACACAGAAGTGATCACAGGTTACTCTGTAATTTCAAAAAAAATTAGGATCCAACTTAAAGAGGCTCCCACTGTCCAAACATGAGAAAATTTGGTCTTGAAAAAGCATACTAATTACAATTTATTGAAACCCATCATAAACATATTAAAGAAACTTATCTTCAGAGAATGACAGAACATCAATTTACTATCTTGAAAATGGGAAAATAAAGGAGAAATATCAATCATTTTTCCCGTCTTTCCTCTGAACTGTACCACTGGGTAACCAAACAGCAGATGAATGGAGGGGAAATCTCTTTTTAGAGTTCTAACTAACAAAAAGAAAGATAGTATCACCATTTTGCAACCCCCAGTGGACCAATGGATTTAGACTTTAAGCATCAGGAGTGGTTAATATCACAAAAAGACAATCACACATTTCATGCCTCTGAATGAAAGAACTCAGCATCCTCCACAATCTTGCAGGAGATTGGAGATGAGTCTGATCACACTGCTGGATGATCAGAGGAACGTGAGTTCCTCAGCACAAAGTGTCATTAGCAATTCCAGACTGTGAGAAACTACAGGTTAATACCCTGGGATTTTCAACAGACACTTTGTAAGGAAAGGGGTGGGGAGGGAAGTTCTATATTAAAAAATGGACAAAACTAAAGTAGATCATTTAGGGATGCACACTTTGGTGATAAAAAATAGAAATGCACGAGGAAGCGATAAGTATAGAATTCAGGAGAGTGGTTACTCCCGGGGGTGGGGAGGGCACTGGATTAGGACAAAGCCAGTCGGGGGGATTCCGGGAGTGGCTGGCAGAGCTTTTATTTTCTGGGTGGTGTATTTTATGACAGGGTTTGTCTTACAGGAACATAATAGCTTATTAAGCTATCCATACCATAAGGTAAGGTGTTAGCCTTATAATAACTTATCAAGCCATTAGCTGTTTTGTATGGTTTTCTGCACTTTGTTTTACAATAATTTTTTTAAATAGTACTAGTATTTCATGAAATTGAAGATGTAAACTGTAAGATGCATCATTGTTTTAATATCATTGAAAGAAAAAATCCGTTATATTGACACCCCACCAACTTTAAGACACTATTTTCAAAAATGTTGCAATGTGTACCTTAAAATAGATGAAATGTAGCAACTAGACACCACAGATCCTGTCCCTCATGCACAAGATGAAGCAACTATCCTCGCTTCCCAAAGACCTGAGGTTTCCTCTGGACAGCTGGCACCAGACAGCCTCTGATCTTAAAGGTGGGAGCACAGCTGAGGGAAGGTGAGGCACGGGGCTGCAAAGAAGGGAGAAAGTGAAGCCAAACTGGACAGCATGCCGCCCGTCCCAGGGCCCTGTTTACCTCCTGTTCTCTCTTCTCCTTTTGGGATTCTAGTTAGACCACGTTAGACTGCTCAAAATTCTCCTGCAGCTCTTATGCTGTTATGTTTACTTTCTGTTTTTCCTCTATTTTTCCTTTTGTGTGATTTCTATGAACCCACTTTCAAGTTTGCCAGTTCCTTCCTTGGCTCTTCATCTCTGCTTTTGTGTGTGTGGTTTTTTTTATTTCTAGCATTTCTATTTTGCTTTTGTAGTTCTGATCTCTCCACTGACATTTCACCATCTGCTCATGCATATCATCCACCTTTTCCACTAGAACCTATTAACCACAGTTATTTTAAATTCCTTTTCTGATATTTCCAATATCTGGGTCATCTCTGAATCTGGTTCTGTATCTTGTGTCTTTGACAGTGTTTTCTCTTTCCTTGCTTTTTTTGTGTGTCATCTAGTTTGACTGAGTGCATCTGTGTTGATGTAGATGGTAGTGACTGAAGTAAATATTTATGTTTGGAAGCGGGCGTGCCTCTTCTGCTACTAGGTGGTCAGAGTGGGGCATTGCTAAAGTCTAGTTAGGAGTTTAAGTGGGTTGGGTGTGTTGTTGCTACGATCATCAGAACTGAACCCCTGACTTCATATTCCTCTAGTGTTACCTTGTGGTTGGCGGGGGACCAGGGTGGGGGATGCTATGGTGCCAGGGTTTTGTTGTTTTCTTCAGTGTTCCTGTTCTATCCTGGGTTTTCACCTTCCTTGTGCACCTGTTGCTCAGAAGGGGCCTCTCTCCACGCCCTTGCCCCTCCCCAGCAGTAGGCTGCTGTTGCTTATTATATGATGCTTGTTTAATGATTAGATGCAGCTTTGAGGGTAATGCTATTATTAAACGTGTCAATTATATTAAATTTTACAATCCACTACACAATAAAAGCATTATCCATCTTTGCTTCTCAGCTCCCAGCAAGATCCTGGCGACATGGTCAGCATTCCACATTCTTCTTATTAAATGACTTGTAGCCGCCACACACTGTATATCATCCAGCACCTGAACTCTTTCCAAACACAGTTGATATCAAACACTTGTTGACGCACGATTCAGGGGAGGCAGGTAGGAGTCAGAAGCCTTGATCTGTAACTCTGACTTACCTAAAACTCTACGTGACTTTGGGTAAAACACTGAACATTTATTGTCTTCTTTCTCACAGGACAAACATGAGGGGTTGACCTGTAACTCAGAAATTGCAACTCCAGAATCTTGTGAACTAAACACAATAAATTCTTTGATTTCTGAGTAACCATTTAAAGACTATTCCAGAAGCTCCACAAGAGGGCAGCTCCTCCACATTCCTTAACGTCTGAAAAGACAATCCAAGCACCTTTAAGTCTATTCTAAAAAACCATCCACTTATAAATATTTTATTTTTATTTCTTTTAATTATGCAAGTAGAGCACAAATATATTCCCACTTATAAAAATTCCAACAGTAGGGGCCGGCCTGGTAGTGTAGTGGTTAAGTCTGCACACTCTGCTTCGGCATCCCAGGGTTCACCGGTTCGGATCCCCAGTGCAGATTCACGTACTGCTCATCAAGCCCTGCTGAGGGGGCATCCCACATACAAAACAGGAAGATTGGCACAGATGTCAGCTCAGGGCAAACCTTCCCCACCAAAAATAAATAAATAAAATCCAACATTACAGACCAACTTCAAGTGTTTGTGGATTAATATTCCCAACCCTAATCCTCTCCCCTGGGTATTTTACTTTATATAAAGTTTTGTTTTCTGTGTTTTTTTTTAAAACATGATTTCTGCAAGTAACTTTTAAAAAATCCACATATGATTTGAACATCTTTTGCTGTTATTATACATAGATTAATTCATCTTTAATTACTCTAACTCCGTAAAATGCGTGTCATGATTTACTTCTTTTTTTTTTTTTTGAGCAATATCAGCCCTGAGCTAACATCTGCTGACAATCCTCCTCTTTTTGCTGAGGAAGACTGGCCCTGAGCTAACATCCATGCCCATCTTCCTCCACTTTATATGTGGGACGCCACAGCATGGCGTGCCAAGTGGTGCCATGTCTGTACCTGGGATCCGAACTGGCGAACCCTGGGCTGCTGAAGTGGGACGTCTGAACTTAACGGCTGAGCCATGCGGCTGGCCCTACTTATTTCTTAATGATTTTATTTTTTTCAGTATTTGAACAATGTTTCATCGAATATTTCAGTACTGCATTTTGAAAAGAGTAAGAACCTCACAAGATTTTATGGTAATTAACATTTTAAAGCTAATTTATTAAGCCAAAGTAGGAATTTTTAATAATTTTACTAGCCACAAAAATATATGAAGCCAATCCACAGAAAAGGGACTGAAAGAGGGAACAACTCTTGAGAGCCTTCCTGGGAAGCCTTTGGGGTCGCTCCATTCCGTGCTGTGGATCATTCCGGGATTCCGTTCCTGCTGGCCGTTTCGCAGGTGTGTTTTTGTCTCAGACTCCAGTAGACCTAAGCAACAAACGGCCCAGTTAGTGCAGAGAACGGAGACAAGGGAGGAGCGGTGAGCACGGCGCCCGCGGTGAGGGTGGGTGCTGGGTCTCGGTTTCCTCGGTACCCTCTGCAAGGTTAAGGAAGTGCTCGCTGGGAGTGGTCCAGAGCCGTCTGTATTTCATGTGCACAAGAAAAGTCAAATATGAATATGTCTGCGGATATTCATGCAAAATGCGTTGTACCTACAGCAAATAATCCTTGAGAAAAGGATGGGCCCCTCTTTGGGACCTTTTTAGGATGTGGAACCTGACCGGACTTGAGTGGGATGTGTGAGAGGGAGAGAGAGGAGAGGCTGGGCGAGGCAGGGAGTGCATTCTGTGTAGGACTTCACGCGATCAAAGCCAGAGAAGGGCTGCCCAGACTATGTTTGCAGAAAAGTGAGCCCAGCTGAGCCGTTTCACAGCTTGCACTGTGGGGCGTGAGCCGGTGGAAATTCAACTAGGGAATAGACTGCAAAAGGTCTTGGGGCAGCCAAGAGTCGGTGAGTGGTTCCTGAATGGCCAGTTTCTCTTCCTGTCCCCATTCCTACGTCTGAAGTTCCAGTTCTTGCATGTGAGTGGGTAGTGGAGGGAAGGCATGGGGAGGCCAAGAGTTAGCTCCAGTCAGAACGCCCGCTCCCAACCTCAATTCACTGTCTTCATTACATATCACACCAGTCATCTTACTTTTACTCGTGTGTTTATTTTATTGTCTGTCTCCCCAGAAAGCTCCATGAAGACAGAAAGACGGTAACTACGATGACTGCTCTTCACTGGATCCTCAGCCCCTTCCACAGAGCCTGTAACGGGACAAGGATCTACTAAGTCTTTGTTTTTGAGTGAGTGGCTGAATGAATGCAAGTATATTGCTGTGAAGTCAAAATAATGATCTCCTTTTTTACGAAAGCGGAAACAAGCTCAGAGAAAACAACTCCTGTGGTAGCCAGCATTCAGGACGGCCCGATGATCCCGGCCTCCTGGCTTTCGTGTCCCTGCACAGTTCTTTCCCACGATGAATAGGGCTCACTTGTATAAATGGAATGGAAATGTATAAATTGTGGAAATGACAGCGTGTCTTCTGAGCTAGCTTATAAAGCACTGTAGGGTCTCACTTATATGTAGCATCTAAAAAATCCAGGGGCTGGCCCTGTGGCTAAGTGGTTAAGTCCACACACTTTGCTTCGGCGGCCCAGGGTTTGGATCCTGGGGGAGGACATGGCACCGCTCGTTAGGCCCTGTTGAGGTGGCGTCCCACATCCCACAACTAGAAGGACCTGCAACTAAGATATACAACTATGTACTGGGGGGATTTGCGGGCGAAAAAAGCAGGGAAAAAAAAAAAAGAAGATTGGCAACAGTTGTTAGCTCAGGTGCCAATCTTTAAAAAAAAAAAAAAGGTACAAACTTCCAGTTATAAGATGAATAAGTCCTGGGGATGTAATGTACAGCATGGTGGCTCTAGTTAACAAGACTGTATTGTATATTTGAAAGTTGCTAAGAGAGTCGATCTTAAAAGTTCTCACCACGCACACAAAAGAATGGTATCTATGTGAGGTGATGGATGTGTTACCTAACCTTAGTGTGGGAGTCATTTCACAGTATATACATATATCAAATCATCACATTGTATGCCTTAAACTTACAGAGTGTTGTAAGCCCATTATGTCTCAATAAAGCTGGGAGTGGGGCCAGCCCCACGGCCAAGTGGTTGAGTACACATGCTCCACTTTTGTGGCCCAGGGTTTGCCAGTTCAGATCCTGGGCACTGACATACACACTGCTCATCAAGCCATGCTGTGGTGGCATCCCACATAGAAGAACTAGAATGACTTAGAACTAGGCTATACAACTATGTACTGGGGCTTTGGGGAGGAAAAAAAAAAGAGGAAGATTGGCAACAGATGTTGGCTCAGGGCCAATCTTCCTTAGCAAAAAAATAAATAAACAAATAAATAAATAAAGCTGGGGGAAAAAATAGACACTGTGACTTCCACCCTATTCTTTTTCCAGATCATTTGCTTGTGGGGGAAGCCAGCTGCCATGTTGTGAAGACATTCAAGCAGCCTTTATGAAGTGGTTCACATGGCAGAGAACTGAGGGCTCCTGCCGGCAGCCAGCGTCAACTTTCTGGCCATGTGGCTGAGCCATCTTGGAAGCAGATCCTTCAGCCTGGTGAGGCTTTGGGAGGACTCCAGCCCTGGCCAACAGCTTGACTGCAACTGTATGAGAGACCCCAAGACAGAACCACCCAGCTAAGCTGCTCCCGAATACATGACCCACATAAATTGTATGAGATGATAAATGCTTGTTGTTGTTTTAAACCACTAAGTTTTGGGGTAATTTGTTATGCAGCAATAGATAACTAATACAGCTCCCAAAGTTCCTATAACTGAGTTTCTCGGGATAAGGTCACATGGCAGGGGTCAGGCTGGAAAACTTCCCAAAGTGCCAGACCATCAGGTCATGATGACTGACTGGTGCTGTATCCTCCTCCCGGCTTCAAGGACTCTGAAAACGGAAGTTTCTTAGGCGGCCACAGGGCCAATGGCCAGGTGTCTTCAGGAGTACATTACAGCAAACACAAGAGGTGCAGAAAGCAAGAATTTTCTCCAGATCTTAGAAAAATGGGCTTTTGTGTTTGAGCTCATCAAAGCCTGACACCTTCTCCAACCCAGTTTGCAAACTGTTTTGAGGCCCATACTAGGCTTATTTTTGCCTTCCTACTTGCCTGTGTCTGAGGGATGCTTTGAGGTCAGATCATCTTTTTTCATCCCCATGGATAAGACACAAACACCCGCAAAGCTGACTCACAAAAGGAGACTGACCAGTGCATTGTGGGAGCTGGAGGCAGGATCCTAAGACCACAAGATTTTTCACACCCAAGTTTTGTATTTGAAATTCAAGAATGGGACACATTAAGTTATAACGGAATGAGCATGGTTTTTGCGCTGTATAAACGTGAGTTCAAATCCCACCAGCTGTACAATCCAGACCATCTTATTTGTTTCTCTGAAATTCAGTTCTCTTTTTTGGAAGACATAATTGAGAAAATATGGGTAGTGATTAGCACAGTGTCAAATACACTTAGTAAGTGTGCTTCCTCCCAAATCTGAGGAAGGATGATAACAGTGATGAAAGAGTTTGTGATGTTGAGAAGCCAAGTCTGTTGTCCAGCTGACCTTGTCTTTTTCATGGACTCTGTGTCACCTCTCTGATCCTCAGGCTCTTCATCAGGAAAATGGCAAAAAAAAATAACTCACATTTATTGAGGAGTATGTGCCAACCACTGCTCTAAGTCTTTTTGCATGTATTAACTAATTCATTTGATGCTCACCGTCCCACAGGGAAGATATTTTTATTTTATACATGAGGTAACCGAGGCAGAGAGAGGGGTGTGTCCATTAGCCCAAGGGCACACAGCCATTAATGCACACAGCACACAGCCCAAATGGCGTAGCTCCCAGAGCTGACACCCTTTTTTGTGTGGACTATTCAAATATAAAACCAACAAAGAACATAGTCATTGCAGGAAAATAACAAACAATCATGGTGGTGGAGAACATTAGTGCTCACTAACGATAAAGGCCTCTGTATCAGTAGGATCGTATGACTATTATCCATCAACGGAAGGGGAGCGGGCCCTCAACAGGTATTGCTTTAAGCACATTAAGTCGGAGAAGTTTAAGAATGTGTCTTTTCCACCTATTTTCTCATCTGAACTTGTGGAAGGAAACGACTTTGAGATGACACACTTGCAAGTGTAAAGCAACGTGTGTACATGAATTTCTCCTGGAATAGAACCAAATAAGAGAGCCCCCCAGCATGCATTGGACTGTGAAGTGGGTGAGAATCAAGCTTTTCTTATGTTTCACTATTGAATTCTGGGGTCTGTTTCTTCCTGCAGCATAGCATAGCCTATCCTAACTACAGAATCACTAAATGGTAGTAATGATTATTTTTCTCAAATAAAATATAGATAATCATGAAAGGAAAATATCAAAAAGTTGATATGATAAGTAGAATTCTTTCTTCTTGAGCAATAAGAAAGACATTTTGAAAGCCCAGGGCTCAAGGGATTGGTTAAATGATATTGGGAGGGGATGGGTAGGAAGGGGCCAAGAAGAGAGAAAAGAGAAAGTGGTGCTAAGGCAATCATGTCTTTGTGAAAGATGTGCCAGGGCCCTAAGTGGACCCAAGCCACCACCCCGACTTATTCCAGAGTCAGAGAAGCAGAGCATTCCTGGAGGAGCGGCCCCAGGGTCTGGAGGCCTCCTGAGAAACCCTTCTAACCAGTGGGGCCGTGCTCCCTCTCCACCCTGTGGACTTAAGGCCTCAGAGTGTGCTCAGCATCAACTGTCCCAGCTTCCTAGGCAGGAGGAAAGGCAAATTTTTTTTCAACAGAGATTCTTTAATAGTTAAATAAAAACTAGGAATAAACTACTGCTTTTTGTTCTGTCCCTCAACAAACCTGGAGAACGTCTGGCCGCTTTCCTCTGTATCATCATCATCTGACTGAAGACTCTTCAAATGTCAAATGTCTCTGCAGGAATGGTGCCAGAGATGACCTTGGAAGATCACGTACCTCCTCTAACCTCGGAGGAAATACAAATGGTCCTGTTTATTCCCAGGATGGGGATGGGTCTGAACAAGATGGGGGGACTAGTGTGGGGATGAGGGGATTCGAAGTAAGGAGGGGGTCAACATCCGTAGCAACATTGTTTTCTATATGGGGAAGCTGAGTCACTAAAACCATCATAAATGCATAAAAGAAGCCTGATGGGGTGGAACCTCCTGGTCCAGGAACAAGGAGAACTGAGTCTGTCTCTGTCTGGTCGATCCTAGGCCTGCGAGTTAATTTTTGTGGACCTCACTTTCATCATCTTTTAAATGCAAGACCCTGAGTATGATAATAGCTGTCCTACCCACATTCCTAGAGCTGTAGAAATATGACAAAATATGTTGGAAAATTGCCGAGTAAAATAGTACTTTGGTACACACCTGGATTTTAACCGCAGTTTCACCTCTTTTTATCTGGGCAAATTACTCAACCTTTCTGGAGTATCTATTTCTTGCTGTGAAAAGCAGCAGCATATTTCCAGATAAAGTGACTCGATCTTCAATTTGCCTCATTACTACAGTATTAGAATGTCCTCGCACTGGGCTGTTTCTATACAGAGCTCCCAGCTTAGGCCGAAGGACCATGCTATAGTGAGGACCAGGGCACCACATTGGGAATCTTAATGTCTTTAGCAAAGACACATATTTAGCTAGTTGTGAGCAAAGTGACTTTTTCTGACCAGCAAGCAGGTGTTCCCTTTCCATCCTCAGATCTGACCTCCTTCTGCCCAGGGAGGGCGGGAGAGGCCTGGTGTCACACAGCCCCACTTAAGGGCCCCCTTTAGGCTCCTGCAGGGGGTTAGGAAGCAGCTGGAGGGATGAGCTAGGTCCTGGTTGTGGGATTTTTCTGTTTGTTTTAATTCAGGCGCAGGCACAGCTGTTGAAGAAACCGCAGACTCTGCAGAAAAGCGCGAGTGTCAGCCCCTTCGGCGGAGTGTCAGCCCCTTCGGGCGGAGGAAGAGCTCAGGAGAAGCTCTTGGCCCACCGTCTGGGTTCTGGCCCTTGAGGCAGGGAGGAAAGATATAGACTTCTATTACCTGCCATCTTCAATATTCACAGCAACCAGAAGAGGGGAAGTTGCTGGAATCTGGGTGAAGTTCCCCAGCGGGATCCCAGTAAGACTCCGCTGTGCTCCCTTAGGGGGGTCTGTGATGTCCTGTTCTTTGAAAAACTAAAACCCAGCCAATGGCCTCCTTCTTTCTGTTCCAAGTGCCTAAGACACAGAGAACTGAAGGCCCTGATTCAGAAGAGAGTCATGCTGACCCTCTTGAAAGGCGGTGGGGGAGCGCTCCCCAGGGAGCAGTTCCTGCCAGCGCTGGACAAGACCAAGTTCCTGGGCCCGCAGGGGCTGACCGTGACCCAGTTCCAGGGCGTCATGCGGTAGGGGACATGGAGCCCTCGGGGGCGTGTGCCCTGCAGCCCTGGGCCTTGGAGATGGTGGGATCTGGCAGCGTGAGAAGAGGAAGAATTTGTGCTTCACCTTTTCCCTTCAAGTGTGTCTTTAAAAAGGATGATCTCATGAATAACCAACTTTTAAAAGGTGGCAAGTACCTTGCTAGCAATTCTAATGACAGTGAGAGCTCCGGATATTGATGTAACAGCTGTTCTCTCTCTTATTTCAACATTTTACTGGTACTGAGTTGTAATGTCTGACTTCAGATTTCTCTAAGAATTTCCCAAAGGAAACTTTGGAAACTAGTCCAGAGAACCCTCTGGTTTCAGGTGTTTTAAAAGCCCAATGACAGCATTTTGCCCCTGGTATTCTCCCCCCTTGTGGCAGGGAGGGACGTGCGCTGTGCACCTGCGGGCATCACTGAGCACACGAGCCAGACCTTCCCCACATGCAGCCTCCACCAGCTCGGAACAAGGAAAGGCGAAGTGAAGCAAACGTTGCTGACTTTAACAATAAGGTTTAAGGGATTGAAGTTGTTACCTGCCAGCTGGACTCAATAAAAATGATATGAAACTAACAATAGCTGAGCGGGGGCTCCGTAAACCTGGCTGGTGCGTGAGTCTCCTGCGCGGGCAACAGCCTCTCACAGGTTTGGGCCGACGCAGATGGTTTCTTTAGAACCTTTGCGATGATGTTTTTGAGCTGTTAGAACACTCTGCATTGTCCTCAGACCTGCTAAGGGTGAGATTAATCCAGTGGAACGGGGGCAACTCAAGAAAAACCAAAGTCTGGCTTCGATCCCAACTCCTGTCAGGCTCCAGACTGCTGGGGGCATCAGTGGCTTCACCAGCAAGTGAGTGTGACCCCATTCCGTCCTTTTCCCGTGTACGGCGCCTCTCATTTTCCTACACTCCCCATTCTCCAACGCAGTAACGCGTTTAAGCGTATTGATACCTAGTGCTCACCACGCGTCAGACGCTGTGCTGGCCTCTGCGCATAGAATAATGCACGAGACAGAAATTCCTGCCCTGGACGGTTCCAGACCACAGAGTTCTCACTCTTGGGGGCTCCTGCACCTTAATGAAACGAGAGGCTGGTAGCAGAAGAAAGGAGAGGAAGGTGCAGTTTCTAAACGCAAGAGCTCATTGCAACAGGCTGCCTTCAGCTCCGCCCTTCCGGTGCAGAACAGACATCTGCCTGCCCGGGGAGAGCAGCACAATGGTGGGCGCTGGGTTATTATCTTTAGATTATCCAGACTTAACCGGATTCTGAAACTGTCTCCCCTCCCACGCACCACGTGACCTTAGCCTCTCCTCGAGGGGCCAGGAGTGCCCCGCTGTGCCCCTAATGTTTGGTGGGGGGCGGTTAGACAGGGTTAGCCATTACGGACAGACTCAACTCGCTATGCTGTCAAAAACGATTCAGAATGCCCGTGAAGTCCAGCCGGTACGGCTGCGCCTCTGCATCCTCATCCCAAGAGGAGGAACTTCAGACTTTCGCGCAGTAATTCCTTCCCGAACGTCCCGCAAAGCTGCTTAATTCATGTGTCAGAGCCCACAGCAATATACCTTCTCTTTGCACCACACAGGAATTCTGAACGTTAAATTCATAGCAAACGGAGACGGTTTTGCCCCGCATTTTCGAGCTATGGATATTTTTCTGGTTAGTGATAGAATGGCCTTGCAGTCTGAGCCGGTCTGAGAGTCCTGGGCATTTTAAATCCCAGGAAAGTGAACAGAGTCTAACACTCTCTCAGCGCCGCAGGGACACTGCAGAGAGATGGAGAAGCGCCTTGGGCACGTCCTTTAATTTCTTTTACTATTTTATTTTTAATTGTGAGAAAATACCATCTTAACCATTTCTAAGTGTGCAGTTCAGGGGCATTAAACACCTTCACCTCGTTGTGCAACCTTCACCACCCTCCGTCTCCAGAACTTTTTCAGCTTCCCACACTGAGAGCCTGTACCGCTGACTCGCCCTTGCCGCTCTCCCTGCCCCGCAGCTTCCTTCCCGTCTCTGTGAATTTGACTGCTCCAGGGACCTCATGAATGTGGAATCCTACAGTGTCTTTTTGTGACTGGCTTATTTCACTTCGCATAAGGTCCTCAAAGTTCACCCATGTTGTAGGATTTGATTGACAGAATTTCCTCCTTTTATAAGTATGTATATACCACGTTGTGTTTATCCATTCATCCGTGGATGGACGTTCGAGTTGTTTCTATGAGATTGTTTAACTTCCGTGCCGCGGATTCTTTATCTGTTATTAGGGAATCAAATAGGACGAGGGCTGAGGTTTTGTGCAAAAAGTTAAGTCAGGACCAGATACAAATTACTGGTTCAGCAGTGACTCCTGTGGGCAGACAAATGGATAGAAATGACACTTGGAAAGACTCCGGGCAGCGACGGGGCGGCAGGTGGAGGGCCTGTGCTTCTAGAGCAACGTTTCTCCCAGTGAGCTCCGCCTGCTTCACGACCCTGCAGCTTCCTGGGCTGCTTCCTGGATCTTCTCAAGTGAACTCCGGGGCTGGAGCCCAGGAGTCTGCACCTCCCTCAGGCCTCTCCTGGGCGGCTCTCAAGCTTCAGGAGGACACACTGGAGCAGGGAGGCGGGGCATCTTGGGTAGATAAGTTTACACTGGCCGAACCAGGGGAGGCTTTGGTCAGGGCCTGTTCCCTGCAGGCTGCATCCCCTTCCTGCCCCCTCACTCTCCTCCATCCCAGGAGCCGCATGGTCCTCGGGGCCACTGAAGCCTTTCACCTGCTGGTGAACCACAGGAGTGTGGCCAGCGTGAGCGTGACCGTGGCAGAGATCTACAGGGACTGCAAGGACGAGGACGGCTTCGTGTACATGACCTGCTCCTCCCAGGAGGTGTTTGGGGGCTTGGGGTCGGCAGCCGCATCCTGGGGGCAGACCCTGCCATCCTCTCCAGCGCGTGTTGACACAGTCCTCTGACCACTGCCCCGGTGCTGGCGCGGGGCCTGGTTGCTCCTGCGTTTGGACGGTCTGGGCAGGGCTGCCTGCAGTGACGGGCACCAGCCACCACAGGAAGGCCAGCCACCCTGGTCTCCTTTTTTAAGCTCAGGCTCTTGTGCTCTCAATCTCATTCAGAAATTGTGCTGGCTCTTAGGAATTTTGTAAACAGTCCATCTTTTCTGAGTAAGAAACAATGGAGTCGTGTGGAGTCATGTCCACTGTATGATGGTTTTGCGTGGTGGGCTGGAGATGTGTTTAAGTGTCTTCCTGGAGGAGGCGGCAGGCCACCGAGGAGTCTGATTTCACCTGTGTGGGCAGGAAGGAGTCCCTGTGCACTGGTCACGGAGAAGCTCGGCCTGTGGCCGGGTCTCCGGAACCACGTGGAGCCAGTGGAGCTTTCCTGTGTCATTAGACAGGTTACTGGTGTATTTCCACAGCATTCACTCCACCTGGTTCTTCCCTCTTATATTCCTTCTGTCTGTCTCTGCCACGTTGATTTATGCCAAAGTTGCAACTACTAGGTTTCAAGTAATTTAAATGGTTAGTCTTCCTTAGAATAGAATTTTTAAAACAATAGCTTGCATTTAAGTCCTTATTATGGACCAGGCTTCATTCAAAGCATTTTATGTCTATTAATTCCTTGTAATCGTCCTGTGTGTTAAGTATTATTATTCCTGTTTTAACGATGAGGAAATTGAGTCAGAGAATGTCCAAGAAACTCACCTAAGTTCCCACAACCAGCAAACAGCAAAGCTAGGTTTTGAAATCAGGCAGTCCCGCAGAGAACCCAGGCTCCTAACTGCTCTGCCAGTCTTCCTGTCTAAGACGAGTTTCTTCACTTGCTGAGAACCTACCAGTGCTGTTACACTCTCTCACCAACCTGAGTGGGAGACGGGTGTAGACACATAACTGCAGAGGAGCTTGCTCATGTGAGAATAGTCAGCAGCGGGTGTGAGAGAGCCCGTATCGGGGTGCTCACCTGTGCAGGGAGGGTCTCGTCGGGAGGGCTTCTCAGGGGAGCACAGCTTGAGGATTCAGAGAAGGAAGACGCATTCTCGTGGGAAGGACTTCTCGTTTTGTTTGTATTCACTGTGGTGAGTAAACATTGATTAAGCATCTCTTGTGTGCCAGGCACTTCTGGGAGCTGGAGCTACAGCAGCCAACAAGACAGATAAGGGCCAGCCTCAGGCAGCTGGCTAGTGAGGGAAGAAAGAAAATGCAGAGAAGCATTAGAAGTGGTATGAAGACAGTGAAAGAGGGTCCGGGAGACAGATGATGGGGGACCCTTGACCTTGGTGTCAGAGAAGGGCTCTCTGAGGAGGTGACGTTGGCACTGAGTCCACATGAAAAGGAGCCAGTCCGGCATGGATCTGGGGGAGAGCCTGTATGTTCCGCAGGAGGGTGAGCTGCGATGTTTTTGGTTTCTGGTGTTTTGATCGATGGGGCTTCCTACATGTTTTGACTTTTCCGGTTGGAGCAGGTTGTTTTCAGTGGCTCTATCTACAATGGGCACATGATAAAAGCTCAGCAGATGTTTACTGGCATCTTCCTTCATCTCCAGACCCCAGGTCTTGAATGAGTCCTCCTTCATTTATACATATTTTTATTTTATTTGACCATTTCTTTGCCACTGCCACAAAAAATAATCTGGGCCAATTTCTGTTTAACAGAAAACACTATTACATTAAACCAAATTAAATTAAACTGTTGTTTTAAATGATTAAATTAGGGCCAGCCCAGTGGCACAGTGGTTAAGTGGGCACATTCCACTTCAGCTGCCCGGGGTTCGCCGGTTTGGATCCCAGGTGTAGACATGGCACCACCTGGCAAGCCATGCTGTGGTAGGTGGCCCACATATAAAGTAGAGGAAGATGGGCACGGATGTTAGCTCAGGGCCAGTCTCCCTCAGCAAAAAGAGGAAGATTGTCAGCAGATGTTAGCTCAGGGCTAGTCTTCCTCAAAAAAAAAAAAAAGAAAAAAAGAAAAAAATTCTGTTTGGCAGCAGATGTTAGCTTAGGGCTAGTCTTCCTCAAAAACAAAAGAAAAAAAAATTCTGTTTGTCTTCAGGTGTCTGCAGTTTTACTGTGATATGTTTAGATGTGGTTTCCTTTTTGTTTATCTTCCCTGGAGTTCATTAGGCTTCTTGAATCTGTAGATGGATATGGTTCACCTTTCTGGAGAAGATTCACACAGAATCCCTTCAAATACAGGCTCTGCCAATGCTCTCTCCTCTCCTTCTGGAACCTTCTTACTCTGCCCTGAAGTTCTCTTATCCTCTTTTCCCTGTTTTCCATCTTTCTCTCTCTCTCATTGTATGTAACACCTTCTGACTTATCTTCCAGGTCTGTCCTTTTCACTTCTCTGTTCAGTCTGCTTTAAAACCCATTTTACTGAAATATTAATTTGGATTATTTCATTTTTTCATCTATAGAAGTTTTATTTGGTTCCTTGACAAATCTGTTATTTCACTTGTTATAGTTTCCCTGAAGATATTTTTAAGATTGTCATATTTTTTAGACAATTATGATTAAAAATAGTCTATTTCTAATAACTCTAGCATTTAAAGACTTTGGGGGCTAGTTTATGATGGGTTTTCTGCCACTTTTTGTTCGTTGCTTCTTATTTCCTTGTGTGCTAATGTATCTTTGATTTTGTGCTACTTTTTTCCCTTGAAAATTTTCTGTGTGAGATTTTCCAGACACCTAGGATAAAGAAGACTTCCTCCAGAGAGATTTGCACTTGCAACTGCCAAGCACCTGGGTAGGAGGAATCTGTAACCATCTAAAAGTAAGCATGTCTCTTGTGCCTCATATAGCTAATTTGGGCTGCAAGTGCTCCTAACGTCAGCGTTTGTTTTTCAAACTCAAGGACGGGCCTCGTTCCCTACCTGACCCCAAACTCTTCCCACTCAAGAGGAGGAAAAGGGGCCAGGTGTGCTCTGTTTCAGTTTTCTGAGTCTCAGCTCTGTCTCTCGGCTGTTTCCAGCCAGATCTGCAGATGCCCCTGTGCCAGAGTGAGCTGTGGCCTGCCAAATCCCTCTTTTTCTTGGCTTCCAAATTTTGAACTATCTTTTCAATATGCTTTTAAGAAGTTTTTTCATACCTTATCATTTTAAGTTGTCTTCAGCAGGAATTTCAACCAAATAACATAGCCTGCTGTCATCAAAAATGGAAATCTCTTAAATTTCTACTTCTTTTCTCATTTCTATCAAGTCTCTGCACAGTCCAATATTAGTCACAGGCCAAGAAGTTGTCTGGGTTTCCTCAACTCTAACATGAGGTTAATCATTTCTACTTACTCTGCAGAGTCAGTGTGAAAGTCAAATAAGATATGTAGGTAAAATGCCCATAAACCATCAAGTGTCATGTGGAGAGAACAACTGGAAGGGATGTGAGCAGAGCGATTGGACTGTCTGTTCCTCCCAGTGCTAAAATTCCAAGAGTCTAAATTTCTGCATGAATATTTCCCATCTCCTCTCATGGTTTATATAAATCTTCACACCCTCCTCTATTTATTTATAATACCCATTTGTTACCTATTTATTAATAATCTATTAATACCTATTTATTTATTATAAATACACATTTATAATATCATTGTTTTTCTATGTGAAGTGTCCTTCAAGACTCATGCAAGGTTGTCTTCTACATCAGTGGTCCTCGTGACGGCTGCAAAAATGCAGATGTGTGAGCCCCACCCACACTGATTTAATCAGAGTGTCGGGATTGAGGCTCATATGAGTCTCCTGTGCAGCCAAGGTTGACACCCAAAGCCTCTCCCGACACACTGGGGCACAGCCCTCTCTCCTGAATCCTCTCTCTTACTGACTGTAACGTTCATTGGGACAGATCCCACAGCGCCTCGTGTGTTAGTTATCTTGTTAAATTTGCAGATAGCCCGTCTTTCTAAACAGAATATAAATTCTTTTATGGATAGTTTAGCTCTGCTTCCTGTATTTCGTGTAGAGCTGTCCCTTGTAAATAATAAGAAACCTAAAAACATTTTCACATGTGATTGTTACGGGGACTGTGAGCAGGAAGACGACCCCTGTGACCCAGGTAATTCAGTGATGTCACAGCTTCTAAAATGACAAAAAAGAAACCTCCCAAAAGTAGAGGATTGGTTAAATAAATTATGTGTTAATCCTATGATGGGATACACTATAACTATTTAAAATGTTGTTGGAGAAGACTATTTAATGGCATGGTGAAATGGTTTGGATGCACTAAATGAGAAAAAGTAAATTACAAGCAGTATTCAATTTTGAAAATTCAGAGGAGCATAATGGATAACTGGTACTCTTGAACATTTTATATTTAAAAAAAATAATAAAAATGAAAGCAGCATCATTTTCCTGGAATGCGTGTGTCTGTGTGAGTGTGTGTGGAGACTTGAGCAAAGTTACGTGGAAGGTGTTTATCCCTGCATTTTGAACAGCATCTCCCTTTTCTCACAGTTTCCATCCTAGGTCATTGTAATCCCGGGAAACGATTTATCCAGCACAAGCACAGGTGCCATCCCTCACTCTTCTGCTGTGGCCCAGCTGCTGACATCTGCTATTTCTCTCAGTCTGACGCAAAGATAACTGGCTGAGCTGCGGACACGGCCTGAAGGTTTTGAGTGTGAATGTGATTGATTACCCGGCTAAATCCTGGTTACTAAATGTTTGGACTCACTAAGTTCTAAAAACGTGAAACCTGAATACAAAAGGAAACCATAACACGGCTCAGCTTTTTATAATGCTGGGTGCTGTCAGCTATGTATGTAACATGGAAAAGAGTATGATGGAAAGACAAGATCACTTTTTTCTACTTGGAGAATAAAATAGGTTTACAAAGGAAAAAGGTAAAACTGCGTGCCATATGATCCCAAGATTGTTAAAGAAAAATAAGCCTTGAAGGGAATACATCAAAGTGTCAAGAGCTATCAGGACTCTGTCCATCGCTGGCTGGAGTGTTTGGTACAAACTCCATCGAAAACAATTTGGCAATACCTATCAAAATTATAAATTCACATACCTTTTGATGCAGCAATTCCATTTCTAAAGGTATTTTATGATATGCTGGCACACTTGCAAGATAATGTGCAAGCTTACTAATGCAGTATAGTGTGGAACAGCTTAAAAATAAATTAAAACATCCATCAGGGAGAAGTTGTTAAATAATTATGATATTTGACTGAATATTATGCAGCTCTAAGATAGAAAGATAAAACTCTTTATGAATTCATATGGAATAATCTCCAAAATATATTAAGTGAAAAAACTTAGATACGTATGTATTAACTGGTTTGTATTTTCTATGCCACTATTTACTTCAAATAAAAGAAGGGAGAAGGAATATGCATACTTTTTAATGTCTCATATATAATTTTGGTTGCCTTCAGGGAGAGAAAATGTGTGGAGACAGGGAATCTTTTATTAAAGGTTTAATTTTTTGAGAGCAGTTTTAGATTTACAACAAAATTGAGAGGAAGGTACAAAGATTTCCCTTATGCTCATTGCCCCCACGCATGCGTAGCCGCCTCCATTAACGATATCAATCACGCAAAAGGAACATTTTCTCCAAGGGTGAACCGACACTGACACATCATAGTCACTGAAGGTCCATCTATAGTTCACCTTGGGATTCTCTCTTGGTGTTGTACATTCTATGGATTTGGGAAAAGTGTGTAATGACGTATATCCATCATTATAATATCAGACAAAGTATTTTCATTGCCCTAAAAAGGAATGTTTTCATTGTGTATCTTTTGTACTTTTTGAATTTGAACCATTAAATGAATCACCTGGTTGGAAACATTTTAACTAACAATTAAAGGTATTACCAACCTTCTAGCAGGTAAGCTTCCTGGAGGTCAGGGGCTGTGCCGACCTAGTACGCAGTTCTAGTCACAGCCCCCGGCATGTGCCTGGCCACAGAATCTGTGGACCTTGGTCAGCTCCCTGCCCCTCACGCTCTCCAGCAAACTGTGGGAGAGCTCACAGACCAGACAGGGTGGCCTGAATTTATTTTGGAGGAGAGTCACAAATGCCCTGGGGTGGGGTGGAATGTGACAACCCAATAGCTTATGAGTTGGGGTGGAGGGAGATGGATGCCAGCCAGTCTCTGAACATCCACTGATGCTGTGAGTGAACTTGCGGTCCTCAGCAACAGACAAAGTGGGGGCTGAAAGGGGGATGGGGTGGACCAACAAAGGGGAAGGCAGGCTAGCAAACGTGAGGAAGCACGCAAAGGCGCTGTTAGTGGATCACTTGGTGATGATGCTCATTCCTCCATTTATTAAAAGATATATACACACACACACACACATATATGTGTATATATACATATATATATATATTTTTTTTTGCAGGAAAGGATTCGCCTTGAGCTAACATTTGTTACCAATCTTCATCTTTTTTTTTTTTTTCTCCCCAAATCTCCAGGGCATGGTTGTATATCCTAGTTGACAGTTGTTCTGGTTCTTCTATGTGAGCTGCAGCCACAGCATGGCTACTGAAAGATGGGTGGTGTGGTTCCATGACCAGGAAATGAACGTGGGCTGCTGAAGTGGTGAGAGCACCAAACCTTAACCACTAGGCCATCACAGCTGCCTCAAAAGATATACTTTTTAAGCACCTACCATGAGCCACTCTAGCAGAAGACCCAGCACAAGTATCTGTGCCAGGTCATGCATCCAGGTGGGGAAGACACACTTTTTTTTTTTTTGAGGAAGATTAGCCCTGAGCTAACTGCTGCCAATCCTCCTCTTTTTGCTGAGGAAGACTGACCCTGAGCTAACATCCATGCCCATCTTCCTCTACTTTATAGGTGGGACGCCTGCCACAGCATGGCTTGCCAAGCAGTGCCATGTCTGCCCCCGGGATCCGAACTGGTGAACCCCAGGCTGCCAAAGCGGAACATGCACACTTAACCGCTGCGCCACTGGGTAAGCCCCAAAGACACACTTCTAAACAGACGACTGCAGTGAAATACTCCTGGTCTGATGATAGAGAGGTTCTGACACGGACGGGTCGGGACCCAAGGGAGAGAGCAGCCCATTCTGCTTGGGCCTTGGAGTTGAGGTAGAGAGGCAGGGGAGTTTTCATGCAGAACTTGAAGCTTGAACTGAATCTTCAATGGTGAGGAGGTAACTGCAGACGATGAAGGGTCTGGAAATGAAGTCTCAGTAGAGGGAGCAAATAAGACAAAGAAGGAGCACAAAGGAACCATATGACATGGCAGGAGAGCGGTTTCACTAGTGTGGGACTCGGCCTCTGTGTTGGGGTAGAAATGGAGGAGCAGAGAAAGAGCTAAAGATGGAGAGGGTGGGCTTAGACTTGTCTCATGGGCAGTGATGGGGAGGGACCACAAATCAGGGCTTTGCATTTTATTTTCATTTTTGAATTTTTAAAAAATCCACATTCTTTTTAAAATTAATTTTCTTTGATTGCTTTCAAGAGTGTTTCATATTTTTCTTTTCTTTTTTAAAATTTTTACTCTATTTAAACTAGATACTCTGCAAAACACCAATTTTTGTGAATTTTTTGTTTATGGAAGAAAGTTTATGATTATAAATCAAAACAAGGCAGTAGATAGAGCCACAGAAGAGCCTCTGACTTAGATTTTTACAAAATCACAGTGAAAGCAATCGAGGGGATAGACTGTAGAGCACCAGAGCTTGCAGACCAGTCCAAGAAGGGCCTCAGGGAGGGAAATGAGTAGTCCTGCTCAGTGAGTTGGCCAAGAGTCAGGAGGGAGCGAGTGAGAGGGGACCACAGGTGTCTGGGGAGTCAGGGAGGAGTGTTAAGAGGAGAGCGGCCATCACATCACCAGGGTAACGCTGAGGGTAAAGCTAAGGGGAGGTCATGGGGATGAGCAGGCATGAAGAATTTGGCAAGCAGGAGATCGTGGGCGGTTTTGTCAAAGAATGTTCATTGGAATGCTGGGCGGGGGCCCAGTGGCAGCAGCAGGCAGCAGAGTGGGGGCTGCGTTGAGGAGGTGGAGCTAGTGAGGGCGGAGATCCATCTTCAGGCTGAGCTCTCGCTGGAAAGAGGCAGCTGCAGGGTAAGCGTTTGAGGCAGTGAGGGACCTGCACGTTGTTGACTCCGAGAAAGGAGATGGTACAGGAGGGATGAGGTTAGGTAACAGCAGGGGTGGGGGATGGACTGACAGCACCAGAGGAGGAGAGGAATCTCCTTAAGCAGAAAGATGAGGACCATTCTTGAGCAAGGAGGAAAGACCTCTCCTCAGAGACTACCAGAAGCTAGAGGAGGGCGCTGGGTTGGAGCGCGGAGAAGGGACGTGGAGTGACTTGGGATCCTGCTTGCCACTTTCCCGAAAGTTTAAAGTTTTTTCCAAATAAAAAGTTTTAAAAACTATGAGGCATTCAGAGTTAATCACACTCCAGAGTTTATTATTTTTAAACAAAAATAAAATTATAACAACTATTTTGAAAATCTTGCTTTTTTTTGCTTTATGTATCTTGTTGATCTTTCCAGCATAAATCTACCTCGTTCTGTTCCACAGCTGGGCACTTTTGCGTTGTTTGGACGAACCACAGTTTATTCCCTCCACCTCTTGTTAATGAACTTGGACTTGTCTGCAGTTTCTGCTGTTGCAAATAACAGCGTGTGGAACGGGGCCACAAGCACAAGTTTTGGAGCAAACACTGACCAGGATTTGCTTATCACAAGTGGAATGACCTTGAGTATGTTTTTCTTTTCTAAGGCTCGGTTCTATCATCTGTAAAATGAGCATTAACAATAACGCATTGATCTAGAGGGTGTGAGCACTGACGACAAAGTACAGCACATAGAACCTGGTGTGCAGTAGGGTGAGCTGCGATGTTTTTGGTTTCTGGGGTTTTGATCTTTCACTGTCCTTAAACATCTTACAGGGGCCGGCCCTGTGGCTGAGCGGTTAAGTTCGCGTGCTCCGCTGCAGGCGGCCCAGAGTTTCGTTGGTTTGAATCCTGGGCGCGGACATGGCACTGCTCATCGAGCCACGCTAAGGTGGTGGCCCACATACCACAACTAAAAGGATCCACAACTAAGAATATACAACTATGTACCTGGGGGCTTTGGGGAGAAAAAAGGAAAAAAATAAAATCTTTAAAAAAACAAATCTTACAATTTGGTTCTACCTTATGATCCCATCTTTTTTTTTTTTATGTGGGATTGGGGGCAGGAGAGAAATCCAGGGGCAAGCCCGGTACCTGACCCTGTATTGCGGGACGCTGCTGCATTTACTACGCTAGAAAGACGCGAAGGAGGGGGCGGTGGGAAGAATACACGTAAAAGGGGAAACCCTCAGCTTCTTTTGGGATTTCCTGGTTTAAAGTGTTTACAGCATCCAAGGAAGGCTGCCACGGAAAGCAGCTGGGTTCAAGAGAGCAGAGCTGGGGAGAGCCCTTCCTTCCCTTTAGTCTTGGAAGGATCATCTTCCTCTGTGAGCGGAGTCCCCTCACCTCCAGCGTCACTCCCACCGTGCTCTGTGGCAGATTAAAGTCAACGCAGTCCCCGGGGCCCTTCTGAGGGGTCTGCCCCTGTGCCAGGTGCAGGTCTCAGGCTGGGCAATTTCATCCCACCGCTTGGGCACAAACTTTCCCTGTGATGGGCGCTCAGGTACAGCGCTCCGACCTACGCTGGAGTACGACTTAAACTGTGCTGGGAGCAGGGACACGGATTGGGGATGGTGACCCCACAAGAATTCAAATAATGAGGAGGTAGGGAATGTAGATGGGAGAAACTGAAATGATGGGAACCCACGAAGACATGTGCATCTCCAAGCAATTACTTGAACTGAAAGGTGGTGTAATTGAGATTGGCTGGTACCCTCTCAAGCCCCGCCCTCAGCACCCCCTTTAAATCGACTTAAAGGGCACTGCTCCTACACGAATTAGCACAGCCCGCTTCCGGGGCCTGTACAAGCTCCCTCCCCGTGGGAGCAAGGCACCCCCTGGTGGCTCAGAGCAAGGAGGGAGACCGATTCTGTGAACTGGGGCAGGCTCTCCCCCCATCTCCCCCACCCCACCACTACCACCACATCCCAATGCAGGACACTGAGGAGTCAAGTAATTCTAAATTTGAACCAGGCCTTCCAAGTTTTTATGAAGGTATATTGTTCAAGGCAGGAAGATAGAACATAATTTATTTAAATTTTTAGTTTGATTTAAACAATTAATTATTTAAATATTGACTATGTGGGCCTTCGTTTGTACTCTTACCTGTGTATGCTCTGGATCTGGACTAAAGTTCTTAAAATTCCTGTCTTGATTGGGCTGTTGGAGAACACAGAGGGATGGGATGGCAGGTGGGGAAACAGCAGGCAGCCAGTCTTGGGAGTCAGGATGGGGT